TCTTGCGTTGGGATAAGCTGTTACGTTTTGGTTTAGAGTTCATCTTTTTTGTGGTGTAGATCTCCCTTTTATTACATTTAGAGTGTTGTGGGTTTTCGGTTTAGTTTAAAATGTAAGACCACTCGCCTCACGCACATAAGTGACCAAAACAAAGCAGCATGGAGACACTCCATCTTCTACCACCTCTCAGGCAGCAGCCTGCACTCCCAGGTTCTACACGTCACCAGAAAACCAACACAATAAACGCAGTGTTATACAAAATGGAAGGCCTGTAGTGTTTATTCTCTTACAGTAAGAATTTATCAATTTTTTTGAGGAATTTATTTGAGATTTTCTGGTTTTTGTTAATTGTGCAATAGAAAAATAATCATTAGATTAATTTTCTAAATAGTCATTAGAATAGTCGACTATTCGATAAAATAATCGTCAGAATAATCGTTTTAAAAATAATCGTTTACCCCCAGCCCTACTATCATCTCACACTAAACACTAACAAGAACAATACTCTGCCCTGAATATGCTTAATATGTAGCTTCAGATTAAAAATTATGTGGTACAAAACAAATATATATGATTTTGACTAGTGCACGTGTGTGTTAAGCCCCGGATCTTCTTCAGTCCTAAATCCGCCCCTGTTCCTGACCGCATTGATCAAAAATAGACTCAGTACTATCAGGTCTGGTGAAGCCTGTCTTTCGTCTGCAGATGAGTTGTTGGACTACTGCTGCTCTCATGCAGATGCTCTTGTTTTCCCAGAGGCTCTCCACCCCTCATCAAGAGCCCCCATAATCCCATTTGGTGCAATTATCTTATCTCAGGTTCTCAATGGCTGAGATAGCATTATCCTCCTAATCGCACACAATCCAATTGGCTTGCAAACCTGAGAGTCTCGTCCTCAGCTGCTGGCTGCTGGTCCCTGCCAGAAAGATTATGACTGCATGATGAATGTGTTTATGGTTAGGAATGTCTGTTGTGAAGCCGGGCTACAGCACAAAAATAGAGAGCTGGTTAATAAGAATTGTTTGGGACAAACGCAGACTGTTGTGAAAATATTAGGGTCGTTCCAGCGTCTGGATCCAGCACACTAGCTGACCCGTTTCACTGTGTCGCCTGTCAGTCAGTACTTGTCACAGTAAACATGAACTAAATCTGAGTTTCTGGAGTGCTCTAACGGGGTTTTTTTTCCCTTGTTGTTTCAGTATCAGCGAAACCAAAGGAATCAGGGGCCGCTATGGTGGCGCCTGGCTGCAGCTCTCCTAGGCCTTCTGTTTGATAGAGGGCTTGTTGCTGGAGGAGGGCTTGTGGGACAGAGGTGAGGGGGTTCGTCCCTTCACGTCCTTCATCTTCATCTCGGTGAGGAACTGGACTTATAGTCGCACTGTCAAATCTAACACGGGTCAGTTTGGGGAAAGGAAGAAAGAAAGAAGACAAAAACAGGTCACCGCGGGACGGCGACAACCAACTTTTGTACGAGGTCAAATGTTTTCTCTTTCTAAGAAGATGCCATGATCCTCCCAAGATTCCTCGAAAGGACAATGTTCATATTTTGACCTACATGTAGTGTAGTAGTTTTGTACAATACATTGTTCTTTTTTAAAGTTTTTGCACTTCAATGTGTATCCTTCTTAAATGACCTCCGCAGACCCTGGGAATGCCTTATTCAGTGTCTTCTGCCAGAAGGAGCATTTGAACATTTTTGACAGGCAAGTTGAGATGGTTAGGAAACGAACGAAAATGTGGTGTCTAAACTTCCTTTCTGAAGTCCACCAGGTGACCAGTCAAGTTGATTTACTAACTTCCAAAGAGGCCATGTCTCAGAACAAAGCATTTTGCACCTCACCTCAATGGAACATTAATCTTTTTATTTCTTGTATTTTTTTCTATTCCTTTTCTTTTTCTTGTATAAAAGTTTTGACCCTAATTCCACTACCTCCGCTCCGCCCCCGCCTTTCGCAGCCGCTCGCTTCCGAACTCAATTTTTACTGGTACCCGCTCTACAACGGCTCCGCTCCGGTGCGGAGACCTGAGGTGCGCAAACAGGCATGCGCGGGATTTTCGAGATCTTGCGATACAGTCCGAGCAATAAACGCGGAAGTTAGATCCAAACACCTGTTGTGTGGGAGAAGCATCGACATGAACTGTTTAATCTGCCCATCATTTGTGTTGTGAGATCAGCAGAGTTTGGATCAACAAAGTGTGACTACTTTGATAGTGGAAACTGTATTTCTGGCTTACTTTTGTGCATTTAAAGTTCAGCCGCCATTGATAGTTGTTAAAAGTTGTTAAACCTGTGCATATGAAACAAAAAACGCTTTTTGTTTATCGATTTATTGTGAAATAACGGAAGCTGTGCTTGCTCCCTTTCCTGTTGGCGGTTGTGATTCCTGTCCATTTACTGCGGAGGTGCTCCGGCGTCCGGCAAAAATAGGATCGATTCTATTTTTGCTGGATGCCGGAACAGAGGGCGGCGCACTGCGCCGCACTGCCGCAGCACGGCCGCAGTAGTGGAATTGCTCTGATTGACTACAACGGGACCGATTTTGCTGCGGAGTTCGTGCCGGAGCGGAGCGGAGGTAGTGGAATTTGGGGTAGTGTCTTCTATAATACTGGGAATGAGGTCAGATATCTGTACATATAATCAGAATCGAGTTTATGGCCTCGTTCATACAAGGAATTTATCTAGATTCATGGGTGCAGAAAGGTTGCGAAAGACATACAGACAAAAACATGGCTCACTGTGAGCTGTCATCTAAATATATTTTAATACAGTCATGTGCTACATGTCAAACATTTTTGGACCTTTTAAAAGTACATGGGTGGAGCTGGCAATTGCTGTCTGGCCAAACAAGCCTGGCTAGTTGCAGCCAACCTGAGAGACAGCCAAACAAATATGAGAAAATAAATAACAACATTAACAGTAAAGCAATAAAAATGCTGTAGTATCATGCAAATACTGAATCAACAAGTTCAGTTAGCTGGCATCAGTTTAACTAATCAATCGTTTATTTTTCACTAATTTATGTCTGAGATGTAGCACACTGAAAAGATGTTTATATCAAAAGATGGGTGCTGACGTTTACAGAAAACTACTAAAGATATAGCATCATGCACTAAATAAGAACAAGACATAACAAGCACATGTCACACTGAGCTTTCCTCTAAACCAGGGTGTCCAATAGGTTGATCACAAAGCAATCACTCCCCTGGCCCTGACTGACCGCTTTGAGCTGCTCACTGTAAAAGGTTGTAAAAATGTGGGCACCCCAGCTCCACACCAACATTTTACCCAATGGAAAGTCTATCATAGATAGTTTATTTAGCCTTTTTTTTAATTAGACCTCCTCTCAGCGTCTCTGTGTTTTCCTTTGTTTTATGTTCTTTTCATGTGATTGTTTTCAGACCTCCATGCCCTTTGAGTGGAACTATGGATCCACTGTTTTTGCACTAGACTTTCCACCCTTACAAGAGTTCAGATTGTTACCAATCCAACCTCTGTCTTGTATGAAGGTTTTCACTTCCCTCCCGCCACATTTCAGTCACTTGTCCAAGACAAATAATCAGTATTGAGGCCTGACTAAACACAGTCTGGAGTCTGGATTTGATATCAGTTCTGGAAATTTCACTTTGGGCTTAGTTTGAGATCGAACTGGAGCCACGTCCCTCAATTCAAAGGTTCCTTGGTTCACTTTTCATTCGTGGACACCTAACAATATGGCGTAACCAATCTGTGAAACAGAATCCGCCCCTCTCAGGATTCCCATCGGGTTTAAGATGTTCTGTTGGGTGATCTTTTATTGTCTTTGGTGCTTCGATACAGATTTGGGGCAGCACACATTAACCACCACTGTCTAAGCAGACAAACAACCTCTGAAAACAAACTAAAGTAGAAAAGACTGTAATTCTTCTTGAAATATGAATATGTTTGAAGACACTGTTGAAGATGCTGTTTTTCTTAGATTTTCTTGCTGATTTCAGGCATTTTGGGGACCCTAGGAGCAGTACATATCAGGGGTCTGTAATTACTTGCTCCTTATAATGTATATCACTGCATAGTTGCCGGGGTTTTCTCATTTTTCTTAAGATGTCTCAGGGACAGACTTTTTGGGCTACTGGTAACCTTGAGGATAGAATAAAATGGAATAGAATAGAAACATCCTTTATTGTCCCTCAATGAGGAAATGTCGGTGTAACAGCAGCAAAGTTGACTCTCAAACAGAATAAAAGGCTGTTAGAACTAAAGCAGTGTTTTCACCTTTTAGAGTATTTTCTTATTTTCATTTGACCTTAAAAATCTTTCAGGACGATTTCTAGCACATACATCAAGTTACAGTTTGAGGAGTGTGAGGCTGACCGACTGGCTGTGGTGGTGACTGGAGCTACTGGGTATGTAGTCAGAGGCGTGTGAGGTGCACTGAATGTGGTTGTGGTGATAAAGTTTCCTGCGGATCCTGAATGCTGAGCCAGTCCCCGTATAGCGCCTTGTCTCACCATTGCCTTCCTCATCACGCTGCTCCCTTCATGACATGGTCATTTTTTCACTTTATTTGTAATTTATTTTGCCATTTTTTAATTTATTTTTTCTACTGTATACACGTGTGTGTGCAATCACTTCTACCTTTTTCCTGCTTTGGTCTTGGACTTTTGTTTGTTCAGCGCAAACTGGCCTTCGTCATGCCCTGAACGCTCATCCCTCATCGTCTCGTTTGATGCTCGCTCTGCACCAATCCTCTGCTTCTAGTCGGAGAAAACTTGTCACTATCTGAATATATTGTTGTCATGCCACGATTATAAAAACCCACCATTCATGCCTACATGAGTGTACTCTCAGAAAGAGAAAGGCAGGGTTGTGGGATAATAAATAAAAAGTTCACGATTAGGCTAACCACTTTTTTCCTTCTTCAGCCATTTAACTCACCAGATTCACAATATGCTGTTCTATAAATGCAGTAGCTTGAAAGCAGTTCAGTCTTTAGGCAGAATACAACCTTTTATTCCTTCAAATTTCTCAATGATGTGTAGGATTTTTGCAAAAACTGAAAACAGACCCAAAAAGGTTGCATAATTAGCCTAAAAAAACCACAGAATGTTAGTTTGTTTTTTGTATTTTTTTACCTTAATCATTGTGTTGTAAATCAGTATGCACTGGAAAGTACTTTGTTTCTGTAAATCCCACAGGTCTTCTATTTGTTGTGTGTTGATGTATAGTATACACTCTGGATTGGTCTCTTGGGCTAATCTTGCCATGTGTCAGTTGTGTGGGAGCCTAAGTCACGCCCATCTACGTATGGACCATGGGTCCCCAGAAGTAAGAAGAAATGAATGTAAGTCAACGGGGCTTTTTAAAACTACTTCTAATGTTCCATGGATTTCACATATGATGTCCGTGGATTTTAAAGACACATTTTAGTGCCAATAAAGTGCTTATTTTTCAACAGTGGCAATATTTATGTTAGGTTTTATGTGGGACTCACTACAAATGTTCATCTCACCAAATTGACGTCATTGAACCGGACATGGAGAAAAGGAGAAGATTAGTTTAGCAGCTTCGGACAACAGAAGGAGCATTAAACATGGCGAAAACCACTATAAATCTGGTTAGGTGGAAAGTAGCAGCTACCATGAGGGAGGAGATTCTGCAGTGACGATTATGAGAGTTCTGATTTGTATTAATTTCATAACAACTTTTTACAAGCTAATCTTAAGTTACGTGACAGAAATAGTCGAAACTCACATCATTACTTTTATTTAAATTGAAGTACAACATATGAGTGATTCTGTGTGTGAGACAAAGCGGATTGGAAAATAACTTTTATAGCCCCATTCACTTGCATTCGTGGTGTCTGTTCCGGGAACCCACGAGCTGACCGGAAAGGGAGGAGACTTCGGCTCTCTCTGTGCATTAATCAAGAAGGTTTAGGATGGCTCGTTGATTCATTGGAAAGGGAAATGAGCCACCACGGTGCCCTTGATATTTTTTATGTTAGGTACCTAAACTGCCCTCATGTTGTAAATGAGAGCAGCGCTCCAAGAGTGGAGCAGGTACTTCACAAAAACCATTAGTGTCTTGAATTTTGTTGTCTAATTTCTATAATATAAAATTAGCTTTTTTTAAGAAGGAAGATTTTGACCTTTTTCATAACATTTCTTTGTGGTTTTTCTTAACTTTTTGAAATTGTATTTTCTTAAGAAAATTGGTCCAATTTTGTGAGGACAGTTCATGCTTGTACAATATTTTTTAATACAAGTCATTTTGAAGGAACTTGCAACATTCCTTGCACATCATATGTCATGTGATGGAACAAGGCAAACAAACAAAACAACTAAAATTCATGGTTTAGCTGATTTGTTTAATGGATATATTAACTTTGCCCTTCTTTCAACAACAGATTAAGTGTACATGCATAAAAAAACCTGGAAGATGCCTTTAACTGCTCAGTTTTGATGAAGTCTTGATTATCACACACTCTCTGTATACCAAGAAATGAGACCCAGCGAAAATGTAGCATTTTTGTAAACATTGACTGTGTGTTTTCGAGACTCTACTGTGCATTCTTTTTTTTTTGTGTTTATATATATTTTTCTGGTTGTCAAAATTCATATGGAAGTAAAGACAATTTGCTATGTAGTGCAATATGCTGTACATACAGAGCCTTGCTCTACGAATCCTTCTTTTTCTGGATTTCTTGTTGTTTATTGGTACTTTTTTTTCAATAAAACTTTATTGACATTATCAAGATGAGTCAAGTCAGTGTTTACAAGATCAACACACAGTATCACAAGGGTCATGAAAACATCTTCTAATGGAAAAACAGAAAGCTACGCAAGATAAATTACTTTCCTCCATTTCTATTAAGTCCTAACTTTAAAAAAAAAAAAGTTCTGTATCGTACAAGTCAGCCCCTGATGGATTAGCCAAGTGTCTGAAGCTAGCCGGGCATTTGAAGCCAACCAGGCGCTTGGCAGAGGCTGTGCTCATCATTTTCCCTCTGCTGGTAGGTCATTAATTTGGTGAAAGCAGCGGGGCCCCTAAGACTTAATAACCTCTGTCTGAACTGCACACACAAGCAAGTAATGGGGCGATGGTGGAACAGGAGTTAAGTGCTCGCCCCGTAATCGGAAGGTTGCAGGTTCGAGTCCCGCTCAGTCTGTCGCTGTCGTTGTGTCCTTGGGCAAGACACTTAACCCACGTTGCCTGCTGGTGGTGGTCAGACGGACTGGTGGCGCCAGTGCTCGGCAGCCTCGCCTCTGTCAGTGCGCCCCAGGGCAGCTGTGGCTACATTGTAGCTCATCCCCACCAGTGTGTGAATGTGTGTGTGAATGGGTGAATGACTGATCGTGTTGTAAAGCACCTTGAGGGGTTTCAAGAACTCTAGAAGTCGCTATATCAAATACAGGCCATTTACCATTTAATGCACAAGAACTGCATGAGCCCATGTGTAAAGTGAATGATAAGAGCTACTGTCACATCGTAAATGTTAAGGCCAATGCTGCAGAGCATGCAGGTTAGTTACACTGCAGCCTCACTGTCTTACAGGCATGAAAGTGACTGATTTATCCCGACACGTGTGAATATTAGGTGTCTAGTTAGTGTTCCTCATGCAAAACAAGTGTTTTTGTTGATATTAAGAACTTCTTCCTATGGAATACCGAATTTGACAGTAGCTGGTCCAAAACAAAAAAATTAATGGTTCGGATAATGTTCATACTTGAGTGGTGCTCTTTCTTTTTAACAGAGCAGACACCGTACTGTCTCTTTCCCCAGGGCTGACGCGTGGCACTTGTATTGTTACACTCCAGGTAGTTTCTCACTCCAGCCACACCTGACGCACCTATTTGGCAGCTTACAGTAAAAGAACTCCCTCCTCTGTGGCCCCCACTGAAACAAACACAAAGAGTGTGAAAGGATGGGGTTGAAACAGAATGACTTCTACCCCAGTCATGGCTGACTTAACATGCACAACTGCTTAAAGCCGTCTCTTAGACCTTTTCAAATAAAGAAACTCAAAGCCCGAATAGGAGGAAATTAGCAGTGTTTTTACACAACTATTAAACCATATAATGATCAAATGACAATAAATCTTGGAGAAGTTTGCTGTTTTTTTTAGACATTATGACAAATCTCAACCTGAAGTCAGGACAGCCTTTGTTGCTGTTTAGCTCAGATTTTGTGGCTCCTTTGTTTCTCTCCTCTAAAATCGGCACTTAAATTAGGAGAGCATTGGCTTTCCCTGGTCCAAACAATGGCTCCTCTGTTCCCCTGGCTTGGCCGCCTGCTGAAAGAGACACCCATTAGAGAAGCGTCTATCTCTGGGGTCAGGCCCAGGGGTCACACACAAGTACGGCTCTTGTTTATGTCTGCAAAGCCAATCAAAACACTGCAGCCTCCTACTCTCCTCGCCTGGCTTTCTATTTCAGCAGAATAAAGGTCAGATTCTGCTCAGGCCACAGACTGAGGAAAATTCAACATCAGCTCTGGAGTCAACCTCAATCTGAAAAAAAGTGATGCATCACTTTGTCGTGTGAGACGTGAAAAGGGGCTGACAGCACCTGTTTATCACCACAAGCCACAGGTACTTCCCCTAAACCAAGAGACAGCTTCAAGATGTTCCTCACCCAAGAAAACACACTCACAGTTACTAGATGATCACATGTGCATTCACCCTTTTACGGCAGTAACCTCTGTGTTTAATCGCCTGTTCTTATTACAATGCTGAATGCTTTCATAACAGAACATTTCATAAGATTTGGTAAATGTTTAAAGGAAGTGAACCCTTGGTTTTCTCCTCTTAAATGAAGTCCAGCACTCAGATTCTCAGATACGATGGTACGCGGGAAGGTTCTAGATTAACTTTTGGGAGGGGTGGGGGCAGCTGTTCTGTAAAGCCTGGGTCACACTGTGCAACATAATTGTGGTGGAAAAAAAGTGAATGCAAGGGTAATTTGCAGCTTTGTTTCTGTCCAGTGTGACCAGCTCACCGACAGATCCAGCCTCTGACAGTCTTCACGTAGTGTCAGAAAATCTACAACCCCATTCTGCAATCAACCAATAAAAATACACCCAGGGAGTCAGTAAAAAATTAGTGATGAGAGTGCAATGCAAGAGTAGCAACATTAGCAAAAATGGAGGCTACACACAAAGACATGCGAAGCACTCATTTTTGGATTTTGGTCCAGAGTTTAATAAAAGAAGAGTTCATGCTGGCACTTTTTTCTCTTGTCATCGTTGTCCTGGGTAGCTGCCAGCTTTTTGTAGCGTATGCTTTTCGGCAACTATGTTGCACTCAAATGCATGCTAATGTACATGCCTTACATATGTTGGCAATAACTTTACCAAAGGTATGCTCATTAGTGTGCCCTGCTTGGGCCAAACACCATGATGTTTGGTTCACTGAAATTGTGTAGGGTGCCACCTGCACAGTGTGACATAAAGCAGTCCTTTTCAACAGGTGAAAAATGCACAGTGTGATGTAAGAGAAGCACACTTGCAAGAAATCATTACAAACACTGACTTTAAGTAGTTGTAGTTCAAATTTGTGTGCGTAATAACAACAATATAATAACAACAAATCAGTTACAGTTACTTTAAATACAACAGCTTTTCAGTTAGCTTGAAAATGTGACTTTTTGCAAAAAGCTACGCTGATATCTGAGTTATTTAACTCTGTGACAAAATTACAGTATTTGTTTCAGAGTCTGTTTTCAACTTCACATGATATAATTCCCATGCTCTGGCTTCACATCTTGAATAGGCTCAGCTAGGTTAGATTTTGACAAACCATCGGTCACTGTACCATTTATTTTTGTGGAACACAGTGATTTATTTTGTTTTTATTATCCCATGTGGTTTTGGAAGATCATGATTAAATCATACCCAAAAATGGCTCCTTTATCTTATAGCATTCGCCTAATGTGCAGCTCCACGAAGTTGCTAGCATGACTGTTAACACACCCGTTCTGGTGATGACATCTATATTCTTCTCAACAAAAGTTATTCACGAGCAGAAATGTCTATCGCTATCTGAGAGAAAACATAGATGTAATTGAAGCCTTGGCGATGAGTCTGACCCTAAACAAAACCATTTCTACCGCATGCATCTGATGATTGTCCTCATCAAAATCTGCTACTCTAACGTGCCACTTTGAGTTGAAGGAGGCGGAATAAAGAGACTAGCTTTAGAAAAAGTAATCTTACTGGTGGACACAACGGAAAACTTTCTGCTCTGCTTGTGTCGAGCTTTGCACACATCTGGTGGCGCAGGCAGTTGGTTGCCATGGGAATAAGCAGCTAAACCAACAGTGTTGCGTGTTGCTGTGCAGGCAGACGAGGAATAGGGCTGATCAGGGTTCAGCTGGGCACTGAGGGTGCAGCAACTCAGCAACCATCCCTTATTACCCCCCCCCCGCCAGCTGTGACTACACACAGCTGTTCTACTCTGGTAAAGAGAAGAAAAACTCAGCATCTCACCAGCTCAAAACACACACACACACACACACACACACACACACACACACACACACACACACACACACACACACACACACACACACACACACAGCTCTGAGGGGCAAAATCAGACTGAGGAGCTGAATATCGAATGCAAAGTTCTACTCTTAACTTTGGCATCAGTTTTTTTTTCCCAAATTTTAATTTGCTCAAGAGGCATTTGCTCAAGAGGCTATTTTCTTTCTTTCTTTCTTTCTTTCTTTCTTTCTTTCTTTCTTTCTTTCTTTCTTTCTTTCTTTCTTTCTTTCTTTCTTTCTTTCTTTCTTTCTTTCTTTCTTTCTTTCTTTCTTTCTTTCTTTCTTTCTTTCTTTCTTTCTTTCTTTCTTTCTTTCTTTCTTTCTTTCTTTCTTTCTTTCTTTCTTTCTTTCTTTCTTTCTTTCTTTCTTTCTTTCTTTCTTTCTTTCTTTCTTTCTTTCTTTCTACACTCTGAGTTCCCTTTTGTTTACCAAGAGTAGCCCAGCAGAGCACAGAGCTTTGTTGAGCAGCAGTCACTCCCGGCCATCACACCACGCACGCACACACACACACACACACACACACACACAGAACAGAAATCTCTGACTCACACACACTAGCAGTATCCTGTGGTCAGGGGGAGGGATTTAAATCCTCACAGCACTGCTTGTGAACCTGCTGAACTCGTCTTCCCCATCTCATGCTGGCTATTGTTCACCCTTCAACATTTTCTGACTTTATCTCTCGTTTTTTCCTTCCTCAAAACCTTCGTACTTATCCTCCACTAGTTTGAGCCAATTAAAAGCTACACTCCATAAACCCGCACGCAGCAGGCTGTAGTTTCTCCCCATGTGTTAAAATCCATGCACCTCTTGGCGTGGAGTTCAGAAAGACACAAGCCTAATTGTGGCGGGATGCCACTCAGTGGAGCATAAACAAGCTGGGTCATTGCTGGGAACTAATTGCCAGGAAGGTGATTCCTGTAGAAAGATAAAAATGAGTAGTCAACGTGATTGCCTCAGGATGTACGAGGAGCCCTCTATGTGCTGGCAAGACCTGTGGTGTGTGTGGTAATGAGAAAGGAGCTCGCCTGAAGCCCTACACACACACACACACACACACACACACACACACACACACACACACACACACACACACACACACACACACACACACACACACACACACACACACACACACACACACACACACACACACACACAGTGGGTTCAGTGGGTGCTGCTTTTTATTTTTGCCCAGCAGGTTGGCAG